AACAGCTAATTCTAATTAATTTTGGTTATCACGTAGCCCTTGAAAGTGACATAGCTGTTCCTGTGAAGTAATGACTGCTCAAACAAAGCTGTTAATTAAACCTTGTTGGTCTATTACATTCACCTTGCAAAGGGTGTGGGTCATCAAGAAAAGGTGAACCAGCCAACCGCTGCAGACGTCTTAGGTGCAGGGGTTCTAAGTTCAGCTGTGGTTCACCGGTCAGCCTGTTAGATGACTCAACAGTTCGATTCGTTTACAGATAAGTATCCAGACCACAAGCCCAAAGAAAGAGATAAATCGGATTAAACAAAAGAACGATAAAATAAACCCATCGCAGTTTTATCAATGTGGAAACCAGAAAGCCTTCTCAAACGGGAGACTCGTTGGTGCACACAGCTTCAAAGACATTCATAACACTGAACTTCAACAGTCTGACCCTTAATAGATGTGACATTGTGTTTATGAGTGCATCTAAAATCAGTGATCATATTTTTTGCTTGCCTCATTTTATTCACTTTTGTCAATCACGTTGAACTGGTTTTCAGCATGAGTAACATCAGTTTACCATGAGGTAAAGTGAATGGGGTCAAGCACATGCTCAGTGGGCCTTAAAATCTCTGATTTCACCAGTTTTTCCAAATATTTACATTACAACTGATTTGAGGGGAACCGGTCTAAAGTCGTTAAAAGTTTTGGGATAACTAGATTTGGCATTAGGCATTTAAACTATATGAATGGGTACTTGCTGTTTATAAAGATTTGTTTAAAACACAATAAAATCACAGGACTCAGATGTTGAGCTCAAGATTCGAGTAAATGCCCACAAATATTATTAGGTCAGTAAGATTTTTTTCACTGTCATGGAGGGAAAATCTACATCCTGCGATCGATGTTAAAGTACTGACTGTGGCTGTGTAAAGTTCCTGGATCTCAATACTAAAATCCAAAGTGTTGAAAGGATTATAAAAACAATTGACAGCTTTAGCTGTTAACTGCCGACTGTCCAACGTTTAATAAAAAATGAATGCACCCCTGCACATTGTAAGTGTGGGAATAACCTCCTCTTTGTCTTTGCTTTGACATCGAGCTCGTGTATTTGTTAGCGTGCCACATGTTGCACTTCCTTTTTGCACTGAAGCAATTTCACACAGATCACGATGTTCTGTTGCACAATATCTGCAAATGTTTCCAGCAAAATAAATTAAGAGGAGTAAATACTTCTCTAATTCTGATTCATTGTTCCTTATACTCTTTGTAGAGATCCCTTTTTTAAAAATTCATTTTTATATGTGTGTTTGATAAATGTAATTAAATGTTTTCAGACTATTTTTAACGCCCAGAAGACGAGCGTTCCCGGGGATCTTATCGCAGTTCCAGGAGCTTCGGAAAAGATATCCTTTTTTAAGCACAACTTGCGTGTGCTCAGTTATTTTGAACACACGATTTTGATTAATCTTTTCACATTAAACAGATTTTTTTGTAGTTCCGTGTGGGACATCTGTCATATTTAATGACTGTGTGAAATGCTAATTTTTGTTTACCTCCCGGGGTTAATCACCTCCCCACCTCCCCTCAATAGCGGGGGGGACAACACTGTTCTATCTGAAAGCATTAGATGAGGAGGTGGAGGAATGTGTGGTCATCACATGACTTAAAAGAAAGGTAGATCTACTAAGCAATGTTAAAGGTCTTGTCTGTAATGGCATGCTGTGGGATGTGTGTGGTGGGGAGAAACCAAATTATATTTGTGGATTTTCATTGGTTGCAGGACTGTGAAGCACCTTCTCAGAGCCAGCCAATTTGATTTTCTTCTTTGAACATGTTGGTCCAAGCACAGCATAACTTAAAAGCACATCATCTTCTGTTCTGGCCAACCTTTAATAAAATGGGCATAATCTGAATTTGAAATGATGCCAGTAACATTCAGTACAGGTTATTTCGTCCTGTTGTCCTGCTCAAAGGTTTAAATGCAATACTGGGGCTTGGAGATAATTTGGGCTTCTGTTAGGTTCTACCTGTGGTATTTTTCTTGTTCCTTAACTTGCTATTAAACATTGAGCTCACCAGAAATGTCAACATGGCAGAGCTGCGGAAACTACGGCGCCAGTTCATCAGCTACACCAAGCTGCACCCGACAGAAAACACGGGACAAATTGCTAATATGTTTGTTCAGTATTTAAATAAGAGTCTGCACTGACAGTGTGTAGTGTTTGTTTTTTGTTTTGTTTTTTTGTTGGGGGGGTTGCAGTTGTTCTGTGACAAATAAATGTATTTAACAAAAAACATCCTGTTTTTGGTTATATTTTTAAATTTGTGTACTTTCTAGGACCTTTTTGGCCTTCCTCACCAGATGGGATTTGCTCAGTCTAAGCGAAACACCAAATAGCTTCAGTGTTAGTAAAAGCAGATCAAGAATTTATTTTCTTGACCTCCTTGGACTAAAAATGAACCTATTTTGCATTTCACCTACTTGGACTAGGTATATTGTGCCAGTTTTTAAGAGCAAGGGTCATGTGTAGTAACTACAGAGGAATAAGCCACACTATGAAGCTATGGAAAAGAGTTGAAGCTAGTTTAAGTAATCAGTGAGCAGCAGTATGGCTTCATGCTGAGAAAGAGGACTAGAGATGCCATGTTTTCTTTAGGAGTTTTGACAGGGAAGTATAAAGAAGTTCAGGAGTTGGCACTGTGTCTTTGTGGGCCGAGAGACAGCATATCCCCCAGAGAACTAAGGGAAAGAGAATCTAGCTATTGAACTTTTTTGTTTGATTTTCTTCCTCTTTGAAACTCAAAGAGGCCACCCAAGCACAGGAGAAAGCACAGGATGTCCTCTATTTAGTACATCTGGACTTAGTAGGGTAGCTCAAATAAGTCACAAGATATATAGTGGCTTGCAAAAGTATTCGGCCCCCTGGAACTTTTCCACATTTTGTGACATTACAGCCACAAACATGAATCAATTTTAATTTGAATTCCTCGTGAAAGACCAATACAAAGTGGTGTACACGTGAGAAGTGGAACGAAAATCCTACGATTCCAAACATTTTTACAAATAAATAACTGCAAATAGGAGGGAAAGATAGGGGTGAGATACATCAGGAATCTGATGCCCTCTTCTTTGCAATAGTGATGAACAGGCTGGCAGATGAGGTCACTCAGGAGTCTCTCAGGATGTTTGCAGACAGCATTGTGATTTATAGTATAAGTAGGGAAAGGGTGGAAGAGACTGTGAAGAGGTGGAGGTATGCTATGGAGAGAGGAGGAATGAAGGTCAGTAGAAGTAAATGGGGGAAACATCCAAAGCAAAAGAGGTGAAGAAGAGAGTGTGGGCAGGGTGGAGCAGGTGGAGATGAGTGTTAGGGGTGATCTCTAACAGAGGGCTAGCAAGAAGGCTGAAAGGGAAGGTTTAGATCACATAACCTGACCAGTAATTCTATACCAGTGAAAGCCTACTTAAAATGCTTTATGTATGAGGGACAGGCAAGAGTCAAACAAGGCATGATGAGAAAGAACTGATCTGTCAGAAAGTCTATTTTATTAATGTGGAAACCGCTTACTATAGAGCAGGCAGGGTAGAGTGGATGGGGATGACTGTCAAGGATGATTCATGACAGAAGGGTAACAGCAAGAGTGAAAGGCATTGTTTACAAGGTGGTAGTGAGACCTGCTATGATGTATGGTTTGGTGAGGGTGTCACTAACAAAAAGGAGGATGAGCTAGAGGTGGCAGAGCTGAAAATATTCACTGGGAGTGACTGAGATGGACAAGATTAGAAATGAGTAGTCTGGAGATAAAGAGAGACAAGCCCTTATAGATTGGTATAGTGTATAGATTGGACAAAGGGTGTTGAATATGGAGCAGTAAGGTAAGAGGAAGAAATCAGATTTATGAATGATGGGATGGTAAATGGCCTGCATTTGTATAGCGCTTTACTTAGTCCCTAATGATCCCAAAGCGATTTACACTACATTCAGTCATTCACCCATGGCAAGCTACATTGTAGCTACAGCTACAGAGGCGAGGCAGCCGAACACTGGTGCCGCCGGCCCCTCTGAGCACCACCAGTAGGCAAACATGAAGTTATTATCTTGCCCAAGGATATCTGGCATGCAGGCAGGAGGCAGCCTGGGATCAAACCACTGACCTTCTGATTAGTGGCCGACCTGCTCTGCTACCTGAGCTACAGCCCCATGGTATGGGGTGTGACACAGGAGGAAGATGGAGGCAGATTATCCAGTTTGGCGATCCCTAGAAGAACACGTCAATGATTTTTTACACAAAAGGTTCCACAAAAGGAATGCAGGAGTCCTTTTCCTTTTTTTAATGACTTAAAATTACTGGCATATTCAAATCAATATACCTTTAAGGAGTTAGAGCTCTGCGCTTTTAGGGATGGATTAGCCTGAATTCCCTCAGTCATGTTTTTTTCTTTCTTTCTTTTTTAGCGTGACTAGTTTGACAAACAGTACATTTCTTGTTTATGAACTCTGTTTTCCCTTGTGGAGTTTGGAAGGCTGAGTAAGGCTCTTTCAAAGGTTTTAAATTATGTAAGAAGATTACCAGAAAACCCAGACCCCTCCCTACAGGAATTTTCTTGCCATTATAAGTGATTACCGGAGCTTCACCACAGTGTTGAATGAGTGATTATATGCACACCTGTCAGCTTTTCTTTACTTTTTATTCCATTTAATAATGAATGAAACAAGAGAGTCAGATGATTCTTTGTAAATAAAATGTTTTTTATTGAATTCAAAAATTCAAAAAATTCATTTTGTTTTTGTTTTTTTTTTGTTTGTTTTTTTTTTCTTTTTTTTGCCTGTCCCATTTGGTTCTTTAGCCGTCAGAATTGTTGTCTGAAGACCAACAAGGATACCCAATGGATTTATTTTGCCAAATGGATCATCATGGCATTGCCGTATTGGTCCATTTGATCGACCTTTGTTTTTATTAAAATCAAAAAATTCATTTAACACAGTTCATTGAGAATATACACACACATATATATTTATATATTTATTTATATATTTATATATATACACTGCCAAAGAGTGTGGAGACAGCAAGGGCCCCACATAGAGCAAGCAATAATTAAAGGATTGGGCATTAAAACAGTGTTGCAGTGCTAACAATGCCACATAAAAAAACAGGCTTTATTGACAGAACAGTTCTTATTTGCTTTTCAGTTCATTTTTTTTCTTCAAAGGGGCAGCAGTGCCAAAAATTCTGTCCCAGTGGCTGAAGAAAGGAGCATAGTTGGTGCTCGGCCTCTGGTGGTGCATGTCATGCGCTGGTGCTCCACCCAGCAGCCCCAAAGGCACCAGGTGGTTCAAGGTCCATGGCAAGTCATAGCCTATGTGGTCTTCAACAGACATCCAGATGCTAAAAACTGTAATGCACCATGTGGTCAGCGGGTGACAGTTTAGAAGAATTGGATCATAATTGCTCCAGAATCCCACCGTCATCAGCTCTGGGATGCTGAGCCGCTCACTTGACCATGAGAAAGGTGCTATGTATTCGTGATGGACTGCATGGATCCAGCGGTAAAGCTGAGGATGCTTATGATGCATGAAATGCCAAATAAAGTACTGAGTGTCAAAGAGGAGCAGTACAGCCAGCATACCAATAAACAGTTCATATACTGTGGGAGCATCTCGTGGCAGTGGTGGTGCAGGCATAATGAAAATACTGATTATTACAGCTGGTAAAACAAAGAAGATGTGGTTATAAAAAGTGACCATGAAGTTGTCACTCATCATTTTCAAAGTTGGTTTCCTGTTTGGTTGGATCTTGTACTGATGGAATAAAGGCACCTTTTCTCCCAAGAGGTCCAGCACAGAAAAAGGTAAGCTGAAGAAAAAATAGCTAGAAAAGGCGAGTAGGACGGGGAAAAATGGGGATGAGATGAGAGGCATATAGTGAAAAAGTAAATAATCCCAGAATGGCTGCAGAAGATGGTCTGAGCTCCTGCAAGGCAAGAACTGCAGGTAAGGTTCAATGATGTTCAGCATCTTGGTGTGATACCAATGAAGGCTGCTTGTTGTGCAAGTCTTATGATCCAAGACAAGGTTCTGCCTTATATAGAGGTGTTTAACTGGAGGGGCTTTGCTCGCAGTCACACCGCCACCTTTTTTTCCCCCAGCAGCTTAATGTACAAAAAATTCCATGTCAATGCCAAAGGGAACACCAACGGTTCAATGAATGCAAGAAAAGAAGGCAAAACAGCTTTTTGTAAATGTTCTAAGCTTTTTGGTGTCCCAGTTTAGAGAATATCTCCTCATCTCACAATAAGCTGATCAGAGTATTTCTCTGCTTTTTTCTGCCTTTCTGTTGCTGATACATTAAAAAAAAAAAGATGACTAAAGCTGTGTATACCTTTTTATTGGTCACTTTGCATCATCCTATTATGCTGGTCAACAATCACATGTCTGATGAAATATATGCACCATATACTCTATGTACTCTATATACGATTGTATATATATATGAAATTATTATTATTATTATTATTATTATTATTATTATTATTATTATTATTATTATTATT